CAGGGACGTATTGTATGATGTAATATAACGCGAGACTGTTACAATTCGTAAAGATACAAAGTTGGAGTATTATAATATGTGGTAATATAACCTGAGACTATTGCAGTTCCTGGTAATACGATGCGAGGGTATTACCATACGTGGCAATATAACGCGAGGCTGTTACAATACGTTGCAATATAATGCGAGACCATTACAATGCGTGTTAATACAACAGAAGTCTGTTACCTTACATGGTAATATACGATGAGATTATAATATGTAATGATACAGTGGGAGGTTATTGCAATATAACGCGAGTTTTTACAAGACGTTAAATAAAATGCCATACAATGAATAATAATACAATGTAAGACTATTATAATACCTGGTGCTAAAATGTGAAGCTATTACAATATCCGGCAATATAACGCGAGTCTATTGCAACGCACATTACACAGCAAAACCTTACGTGGTATTATAATATGAGACTATAATGCATAATAATATAGGGCCATTGCAAGAATTGGCAATATAACGCGAGACTACTGTAATAATGATATTTAATTTATTGCAATATAGTATGTACTAACATGATTTCTTTTCGCTGAAAAAAGTGCGCGTTTAAACAGATCACAATACTTATCCTTTCGTACTGCACCCCACAATTGAGGTGTTAACTATAACCTAACCTAACTATTGATTTATATCGGTAAAAGTTCAGCTCAGCTCTTAATATAAATACTTCATATCCGGTTCAATACATTCGATAAACTACCCAAGACTCACAGATGTTCTCCCCTTTGGTTAATCTTCCGAGTCTCGACAGCCAAGATGATCGATCCTAACAGCTGCGCGGTAATTATTAAATCTGTTCGATAATTTCATTAGGACCTACATAGGGTGAACCATTGTAAAGCGGCTTAACATTTTCATCACCAAATTCCTTTCTTTAAACTAACAGATATTTTGTAATTATTTACAACTAAAAAACTCTACTTTGGTTTTTCGAGTTATAGCGCTTCTTTTAATAAATTGTAAAATTTCATTTTATACATTTTTTTTGTTGCAAAATGTATTCTTTTAAATTGAAAAAATCTTGCTACAGAAATATAGATTACTATGATTTAACGTATGGATAAGTATATAAGTAAGATGACATAACATATAGATAAATAAATAAAATTGTGTAACTTATAAATGAAACGACATGGCATTTAAGGGAGCAGATAAAATGATACAAAATATAAAGGAAGTAATAAACAAAATAATATAAGAAATAAACAAATACCTAAATAAAATGATATATAGCAATAGAAGTGTACATAAATATACACAGTTTGATTGAAAAGAAATGCTATATAAATTATGATTAAACAGCGATAAGACGAGAAATCTACTGGGTGGTTTAACTATTTATGGCGGCCACGAAATGAATTTGTACGTAACGCGATTAGGTTAATAGCGTCGGGGAAGCTGGAAAATCGTAGACAAATTGGTCCATCCGGAAGGCACGCTTAATTTTCCTCGTTTTCATCGCGATCTGGGAGATTAATCTGAAATGTCGTCAACGCTCTGACCCTGAAGGCAACACATTTTCTACGTGAATGTGGACGTCTCCTTTGGTGGCCTTTGTGGGGCAAGCATTCCAAGTATTACGTTTTATGGCATTGTTCTCAGAAAATAAGAGTATAAGAAACTTTTTATCCCTTTTGTTCCTTTATGTTGTTTATTTCATACAAAGTAAGATGTAGAGTAGCTACTTTGAAGTTAAATTAAAAATCTTTGCTAAATGCCGAGGTAAATATATCTAGGTGGTATCAAATAAAATGTTACAAATTGCTTTCTTAGGATGTAACGAAAATATAACAGTAATTTTGATTATTTGGAAAATATAATTGACTGTGTTGAAAATATAAATTTTTGTTGTAAGAGTAACAAAATGTAAAATGTAAGTGTAATTAACTATGTCTGATTATATGATTTTAGAGATTTGATAATTGGGAAATTTAGGGATTTGATAATTAGAAAATTTATGGATTTGGTAATTTGAAAATTTGGGGATTTTATAATTTGAGAATTAGAAGGATTTTAATATTTGAGGATTTAAAAATTTGAGAATTTAGGGCTTTGAAAATTTGACAATTTAGGAATTTGAGAATTAACGAATTAACGAATTGACAAATTTTAAATTTCAGAAATTTCCAAAGTTTAAAATTTGAAACTAAAAATTGAGAAATTAAAAAAATTTTTAATCTGAAAGCTTAACATTTCTTTTCTTATTACATAGTAAATAAATAATTATAATCACAATGCATTAAAGTAAATATTGATATACTTTGTAAAACACTGTTTCCGTAAACGTCATATGCCGACCATACTTCACGCATTATCTAGGCTAGAGTAAAAGATATAGTCACCTGTTAAATAAAATCGATAGGCTCATACATATTTTACGTTGGAAAGTACAATGCTTTTCTACTTGTGTGTTAAAACTTCCTACAGTATGCGGATTATAAAAGAAACTTATCGTTTATTATTAATACCTAACAATTATATTTTTCAGTACATTATGAATATACTACTAATTTGTAAATAATTAATTCTGAATAATTTTCAGAATTAATTTCCTAACCAGGAAAGATGTTTTGAAAAAACAAGGTATTGCCAATGAACAATCCTAGCGAATTTTATAATTTAGCTTAAAAAGAATTTGAAATACCAAAGTACAATATTGTTACAATATAAAATCCCAAAATATACTACTGATTTGTAAATAATTAATTCTGAATAATTTTCAGAAATAATTTCCTAACCAGGAAAGATGTTTTGAAATATCAAAGTATTGCCAATAAACAATCCCAGCGAATTTTATAATTTAGCTTAAAAAGAATTTGAAATACCAAAGTACAATATTGTTACAATATAAAATACCAAAAAATTTAAAAAGTAACAATCGTATAACCTAACCTAAAAAAAGTACTAAATAATACAGTAATTTACTAGTAATATATAAGTGTAAATACTTCCATAATAATTTTATAACCTAAGTTAAAAATAAACGTTTGCAATACCAGAATAAACAGTTAGTACAAAAAAAGTCCCAGCGGCAAAATAACAATGTTACCTAACCTACGAACCGGGGAATAATCGGTAATCTTCGAAAGAGATCTCCGTAGATATATTAATAAGATAAATATTATGATCGTAGGAGAAAATCCATTTGAATTCGTCGGAGTTTAATTCAGCCACGTTTTATTCGCTCGCAATTTCGCGTCTCATTATTGAGCTAACAAAACGGCATTTCGAAGTAGCTGTTCGCCGCCGTTAAACCGTCGTTTCTCGCGAAATTAACGAACCGCGAGAGATCGTTTCTTTTTTTATCCGTCATTTATCGCGATAATGAGTTAGCTGGTGTATTCATTCGAGACCGAAGCGGGTTAGGTCTTGTTTCGTTCGCTCGCGATAACACTTTTCACCGCGTTCCTCCTTCTCGTGCTTCCGGCTTGTTTCCCGTCCTTCCGTTTCTGTCTGTCGTTTCCTCTCGATTTCCCGGAAAAAGGTGTCGTATCAAGCATTGGCCCCCGTCCATTGAATTCTCGAGAAGAACCGCGCTGTAATTTCCTCTACTCGAGCACGACGCTAGCCCGTTCTTCTTCGTGACTTCTTGAAAATAACGGAATAATTGAAAGGCAGATGGTAGAAATGGGTGAGGGGAAAATCCAACTGAGGGAAGTCGCGATTTTAACGGCCCTTCTCGATGCACTCGTACACAATCACTCGACCCAATAATCCGTGTGTCGAGCGTGACTTATTTTCTAAAGGAAAATGCTTAAACACGGGTTCTTACGAGGCTTTCCGACTGGCCGACTCAGATCTCAATGAACTTAAAAGTACACACTGTGCCATCTTTTCATATGTGGATGGCACGTTCAGTAAGGATATGTGACCTTTCACGTGTGTAAATATAATAATTACAAATTTACAAATTTTTAAATTCTCAAATTTCCAAATTCTCAAGTTTCCAAATTCTCAAATTTACAAATTCTCAAATTTACAAATTCTCAAATTTACAAATTCTCAAATTTACAAATTCTCAAATTTACAAATTCTCAAATTTACAAATTCTCAAATTTACAAATTCTCAAATTTACAAATTCTCAAATTTACAAATTCTCAAATTTACAAATTCTCAAATTTACAAATTCTCAAATTTACAAATTCTCAAATTTACAAATTCTCAAATTTACAAATTCTCAAATTTACAAATTCTCAAATTTACAAATTCTCAAATTTACAAATTCTCAAATTTACAAATTCTCAAATTTACAAATTCTCAAATTTACAAATTCTCAAATTTACAAATTCTCAAATTTACAAATTCTCAAATTTCCAAATTCTCAAGTTTCCAAATTCTCAAATTTACAAATTCTCAAATTTACAAATTCTCAAATTTACAAATTTTCAAGTTTCCAAATTCTCAAGTTACCATATCCTCAAGTTTCCAAATTCTCAAGTTACCATATTCTCAAGTTTCCAAATTCTCAAGTTTCCAAATTCCCAAGTTTCCAAATTCTCAAGTTTCCAAATTCCCAAATTGTCAAATTTGAAAATTCCTAGATTCCCAAATTCCTAAATTTACGAATTGCTAAATTCCCAAATTCTTAAATTTGAAAGCTCCTAAATTCCCAAAATTCCCAAATTCTAAAATTTAAAAATTCCTTGATTCCCAAATTCTTAAATTCTCAAATTTACAAATTTAAAGTCTTCTAAATTCAAAAATTCTCAAATTTAAAAATTCCCAAATTCTCAAGCTTAAAACCTCCCAAATTCCAAAATCCTCAAATTTTCTCAAAAACGAGAAATTTCATTTCCCCAATTTGAACACACCAATAAAATAAGCAATCCATTCAAAAGCAACGAAAAATAAAAATATGATCGTTAATGGATATCAAGCAGGAAGAAACAATGAGAAAAAGGGATGTGGTCTGTAATGGGTGCATTTGCCTTATCTGTTTCAGTGTGCAACTGCAACCTTCACGCGAGAAAGTGCAGATTCAACATGGAACTGTACAAGCTGTCGGGACGTGTCAGCGGAGGCGTTTGTCTGCAATGCCGGCATTTTACGGCAGGAAGACACTGTCATTATTGTCGAGAAGGTTACTACAGGGACCCGGCGAGACCGATCACGCATCGTAAGGCCTGCAAACGTAAGTACTCTCAGACAGACGTTAATCACTGCTAATTTACAATCAGTTATTCCCATGCTGATCTATTAATCAGAGATTATCCACTCGTTTGCATGTCCACAATGCGTTTGTGCTTATTTCGTAATCAATCTAGGTTAACCTCTTATCAAGGTTATAGTCGATCATTTTATTTATTTTTAATAATTATTAGAACCGATTATATTATTGAACATATGCGATTGCTCAGATATAGGTTTTTCACTTATGAGGCTATTGAGTAAAATATTAATTAATTTGTTTTCAAGAGCTTGAACATATACGGATGATTTCCCTACAAAGTTGTCACATATGTTTAACAATGTATCACTTACTTGTGTTGCGATTTTATTTCGTTATTAATCAAGGTTAACCTCTTACCAAGGTTGAAGTAGTCGATCATTTTATTTATTTTTAATAATGATTAGAACCGATTATATTATTGGACATATGCGATTGCTCAGATATAGGTTTTTCACTTATGAGGCTATTGAGTAAAATATTAATTAATTTGTTTTCAAGAGCTTGAACATATTTGCCTACGAAGTTGTCACATATGTTTAACAATGTATCACTTACTTGTGTTGCGATTTTATTTCGTTATTAATCAAGGTTAACCTCTTACCAAGGTTGAAGTAGTCGATCATTTTATTTATTTTTAATAATGATTAGAACCGATTATATTATTGGACATATGCGATTGCTCAGATATAGGTTTTTCACTTATGAGGCTATTGAGTAAAATATTAATTAATTTGTTTTCAAGAGCTTGAACATATTTGCCTACGAAGTTGTCACATATGTTTAACAATGTATCATTTACTTGTGTTGCGATTTTATTTCGTGATTAATCAAGGTTAACCTCTTATCAAGGTTAAAGTAGTCGATCATTTTATTTATTTTTAGTAATAATGATTAGAACCGACGTCTAGTATTATTCAGGTAAATGTTTATATCACTGGACATACGTGGTTGCTCAGACATAGGTTTTTCACTTATGAGGCTACTGGGTAAAATACTAATTAATTTGTCTTCAACGTTTTGAACATATATGGATATTTGATATGCCTATAAATTTGTCACATATGTGTAACAATGTGGTCACTTACTTAATTGTGTTGCGAGTTTATTTTGTTATTAATCGAGGTTAACCTCTTATCAAGGTTAGAGCAGTCTAACATTTTATTCATTTTTAGTAATAATGATTAGGACCGATTTCTAGTATTGTTCAGTTGAATACTTATATTAGTGGACATATGTGATTGCTCAAATATAGGTTTTTCACGTATGAGACTATTGGGAAAAATTAATTTTGGTAAAATTAATTTGTTTTCATCACCTTGAACATATACGATTGACGTTTAAATGGTGTACGAATTTGTTACTTATTTTTAACAATGTATTCATTTACCTAATTGCATTTCAATTTTATTTTTTGTGATTAATCAAGGTTGACTTCTTATCAAGGTTAATCGATTATACATTTCATTTATTTTTAATAATGATTAGAAACGATTTTTAGTATTATTTATATAAATGGCTATTTTTGGACATACATGATCGCTCAGATGTAGGTTTGTCACATATGAAATTATTTTATTTTGTGGTTAATAAAGGTTACCTTCTTATCAAGGTCAGAGCAATCGATTATACATTTCATGTAATTTTAATAATAATTATTAAAATCAATTTGAAGTATTATACGAATAACTAACTACATTATTGAACATATATGATTACTCAGATATAGGTTTTTCACATATAAGTCTATTAAGTAAAATGTGAGGAATCTGTTTTGAACACCTTGACCATACATTGACATTTAATTTCCACATGAATCACTTATATTATTAATTTATACATTATGTATTACGTATGTATTATGTATTTATTTATCTACAATACAAAGTTTGTTTACCTACAGTTACAGTTTCATTTCGTAATTAATAGTTAGCATCTTATTAAGATTAATGCAATTGAGTCTGCACCTGATTTTTAATACTAATCACTTGAGTCTCCTGTCACTTAATTAAATATAATTATACTATACTTAAAAAATTAACTTGAAATACCTATTAAAAAAAATAACTAAAAACCACAGATTCCATGTTCGTAAATTTGAGAAATGCAACGTTAATGCTTCAACAGCGCGAAGGGTAGGTGCAAAGGCGGTTACGTTAGCACGGAAGACCAAACAAATCCACGGTGTTCTAATCACACGAATGGAATGTAATAAGTGAACATGTGCATGTGGATTCATGGTGTACCATAGCAGTGTGTATATAGAATGGTGCGAGCATGAATACCTTCTAGTCGTACTTTCTCGCGCCAGGAGATCGTTATCCCTGGCGGTGGTTTCTGGCCCTAGACAAACCGACATAAATTGAATGTCTTGGGATTGGTGGGGAGGGGTCTTTGCTCGGTTGGTAGCCACTTTGTAACAGTACCGGGAAACACAGATGAAATTAATAGTAATAACGGGGTAATAACTGGATTCCATTTATGGCGGGATGAGCTTTAACAGCGATTGACAGTTCAGAACCAAGATTCAACACTTTGTCTAACCGAACTCGTATTAATTACATTTTATCGTAAATTCTCTTGAACTATAATTAACCCTTTCGAAGGGTGAGTCACCATTTTTTATTTTTGTTACATGTTTTGGTACAATTCTGTGAATAAATACTGTACTTAACATGTGATAACCATGTTCTTCTCATCTTGTACCTTTGTAATTCTTGCCTTACGTTAGTATAAAATTGTTCTTACTTTAAGTTCTAGAAAATGATCAAGTTTTATGAATAACTGGACCCTGCACATCTAATAAATCACAAGATTTATTGTGAATGTCAGTTTGTGTTTTTAATACATTAACTGCCACAGCCAGTAGACTTATTAAAATTGTCTTAATAAGATTAACAAATCCTACCAAATATGTTCACTATATTTTGCTGTACTTACTATCCATAGTTCTAAGTAGTAACACAAGTATTTAGGTAAGCGAACAAACTCTTAATAATACAAGTCATAATAAATCCATGTAAAAATTTGACCGTCCTATGTGGATGATATAAACGTCATATGTAACAGTCAATATTAATTCACTACCCTTCATCAACAAATATTTCTAATTTTCACTTGCAGACTACCTTAATAGTTTTAAATAACAACTATATAAACAAGGACTCCTTTAAACTACAAAAATATATAAATAATGTCGCCGTTAGGGTTTCTAATTTCTGTTATCATCCCCAGCCCTGCGTAGGGTTATTGACACAAAGGCCGAAGTCAGTGGCACGTTAATTACCTTCTGAAAAGGTATTATGTTGTTGTTCTCCCGGTGAATATAATTCGCCAAACGAAACGCCCGAGGTTACGTTTCACGGCGTAGAAACGAAAGGATTGACGGCCATTTCGTTGCGTCCCACGCGATACAGCCTCGATGGTAGCTTCTTCGCTCTGGGACCTAATTTATGAAAGTTCTACTATCCTAAGACGCGTTTAAATCTTCTTTTCGTGCCGTTGGCTCGCGGTGAGTGTCGTGTCTCGTTGTTATCTTAACGGCTGCGCTATGGCCGCTAACGAGAATACAGACTGTTCGTTATCTTCGCGACGAGAGCACGCGCAAGCCCTCGGCACGACACTTGTGTTTTATACAGGCTGATTCACGCAGCTATCGCGTTATAATTCTGAAAATTATGACAGGGGTTCTTCAACTTTGGCCCGCCGAACAATTTTGACTAGTGTCAGAATAAGGTATTTTAGATCCCCTAACTTTTCGCTTTTATTAACCCTTTGCGGTCGTATGTCTGCTCTCAGCCACCACAGCACGGAACTATACTAATCTTATACTTTCAACCACAATCAAAAATCAATTTTTCAACGGGATAAGGTTCGACCTAATGTACCTGTTTATTGCACCGAACCTATCGACTTTTTCAGACTCTTTTTTACAAACACACTGCTTGAAACAATTGTACTAGAAACAAATAAATATGCAAAAATAAAATAGAGCAGCAGAACTTATTTGGTCGATCAACATGGAATAACTGGATCGATGTGACGGAAGAAGAGTTAACAGCTTTTTTGGGGGTAATTTTTAACATGGGCACCAGATCCTAATATAAACTATTATTGGACCAAGGACCACGTTGGGAAAGTCTGTTGGTTTTCGACAAATATATTAACTCTTGATGCAAAAATGAATTGAAACACACTGAATATTTATTTCAAAGTAATAAATACTGCATAGTGAACGGCCGATTGTTTCAGTGAGCGTTTGATCGTAACTTTAGTTCGTGTGTGCATTTCGTATAGTAACCTCCCTTCCGAGTCTATTAATAATAGCATTTTTTTTTAAATCATAGAGTTTCATTTAATTATAAACCATTTCCAATAATATCAAAGGAAAATGGATCAAAGAATACACTTGTAGGTCCAAGTTTTCGTTAGGAGCACAGTGGTACATTGGAATGTCTAAAAAATTGTCTCATTTCCTACAAATTTAATATATCGATACCACTCAGGGTGTTACCTGTAAAGCCACTCACAATTTTAGTCCCACTTGCAGCCACTTTACGAACAAAACTTTACAACAATATTTGCAGGGTATGAAGTGCACAATAGATATTAGTAAAGCAGATTTTGAAAACAGTTTGTTCTCTTGGCAAAGTCAAGGTCACGTGGGTTTTTTAAATAGGCACATACATTTTCTTTTATTCATAGCATTAGAGGACATCGAGACGAATTCAAAACCCATATTACATGATATTTTTATTAACATATTACTCGATTTACAGAAGTTGAAATGTGAAGTAAAAGACCGGAATATTACGCGTTGGAAGGCGGCATACATTTTGAACATGTAATTAAATAAAGTGTATTTTTCTTACATTCTAGTCGCGTGTTTACATTCAGTAATCTCTTCGGAATCAAATAATGGTTACACTACCAAAGTCAAAAGCTAAGTACTTTACATTTCCTCT